TGAGCATACACTGCGTAGATAGAAGCGGTAGTAAAAATTTAGTCAAATTTTGAATTTTCTGTGTAGGGTCATAAGAAATCTGAAACTTGCAGTAAATGGCGGAGCAGTAGGTCTTGTAGGTTATATTACCCGCTCTTTTTGACTGTGCAAAGCTTGTGCTGATTGAACCTCCCTATCAAAAGATATGATTTACAAGAAAAATGCCAAAATAAATCAAATTCGCCCTTTTGTATTGCTTGCTCGAAAATCATAACTTTTCATAGAGATGCTCAATCAGCGCAAACTTTGCACACTTAGAAAAAGCAGGTAATAGAATTTATAATACTGACTGCTCCGATACTGCAAGTTTCAGATTTTTTATGACCCTACACAGAAAATTCGGATTTTGACTAGTTTTCTTCTATCGCTCCTACGCAGTGTATGCTTAAGAGAAAGCCGCTAAGGTACCGCTATGAAGAGAATGAATTTTTCTTTCAGATAAAAAGAAAACAGGCAAATCGCTGAAAGAAGTGAGAGTTATGAACATTTGAAAGTCGAAAGAACTTTCGGGCCAACCTAATATTAGGTTGTCTCATAATTAATGCACGTTTTTATTTGCTTGCTTTAACAAAGCAACCAGACTCAACCCAACAAAGGGTAAGGGGTACCGCCCGATAGAGCAAAGCAAGCTCTACAAGATGGCACTCATGTCTTTGCGCCATGCTCAATCCACGGAGAGTTCGAACTCAAAATCTAAAAATTTCCAAATGCCCAAAAAATCGAAAAAAATCAGATCTTCGTCCAAATAATTTCTACGGACCTCCCACTCGCTCACGTCAATACTATCGATATCTGATATCCATATGTGCGATTGCCGTATTTTTTCCTCGACTAGAAACTGAGAAAACGAAAATTTCCCTGATTTTCTCAAAGCAATGCTGAGCCGTTTTTGCATATGTAGTTCTGTACTAGAAGCCTAGGTAAACATGACTGTAGGTTTTCAGCCTATTTCGAGCGGTACTTTTCGAAAAATGTCGATTTTAGTACTGAAACTGAAACGAAATAATCCGAATTCGTTATTTTTCGAAAACCACCGCTTGGAATGAGCTGAAAACCTACAGTTATGCTAACCTAGGCTTGTAGTATAAAACTACATATGCAAAAACGGCTCAACATTGCTTTGAGAAAATCAGGGAAATTTTCGTTTTCTCAGTTTCTAGTCAAGGAAAAAATACGGCAATCGCACATATGGATATCAGATATCGATAGTATTGATGTGAGCGAGTGGGAGGTCCGTAGAAATTATTTGGACGAAGATCTGATTTTTTTCGATCTTTTGGGCATTTGGAAATCTTTAGATTTTGAGTTCGAACTCTCCGTGGATTGAGCATGGCGCAAAGGCATGAGCGCCATCTTGTAGAGCTTGCTTTGCTCTATCGGATAGTTCCCCTTACCCTTCGTTGGGTTGAGTCTGGTTGCTTTGTTAAAGCAAGCAAAGAAAAACGTGCATATTATGAGACAAGCTAATATTTTGGCTCCCTTACATGGAGACACTCCGCCTGTAGCCTCTCAAAAACGAGCGAAAAAATACCAAAAAAACTCGACGACTTCAGTAAATTTTTTTTTTGATGTGCATCGTGCAAAAATGTCTCTATCCGTTAAATTATCTGCTTCTAAGTACAATTTATCTAAATTGGAAAAAAATTTTCTGCTGCAATGCCTAACTGCCTGAACTATTGGCTCGTTCGGCATCGAACATATTCTACGTTTTTGACATGCTTCATAAAAGTGATTTCGCAGACAGTCACATTTAGAGATTTGCCTAGTTTATTGGTGAGCTTAGAGTTTCATACTGCTTTCGCTGCAGCCAATGGGCTGCAACAGTGGCAGCCAATCGACTGCTGCATGAAACAATCCTCAGAAGATTACAGTTTTTTCAAGCCCTTCTGAGTGTAAGGAGGACGCGCGATGTTCAGCGAACTATTTTTGCTCAACATTCTCTCTAAATCACGAAAATATGAATTTATCAAGACAGTTTATGATTTTGAAATAAAATTTTGTGATGAAACACTTTGTCAAGATTCCGATGCTTGCATTACAAACCCATACGTTAGAAGCAACACTAAATACGTTAGTCGAAGTTGAGTGGATGAATAAAGTAAATAAAGAACAAAAGGTTAGAAATTTTTCGCTAGACTAGTAAACTTTCTATCTCTTTTTTCGGATTCTTAGAGTCGAACCTCATTATCCGCTGAAGTGCTGGCCCACATGTTCCTAAGTGGCATAATATCAGTTGGATTTGAGTTGAGCAACCAGACAAGGCTAAAGAAATGCGTTACATGAACGTCAACACCGTTCTTCTTGAATACAGAGCTTGCAAAGCGATTGTTTTTGGGTTATACAATTTTTAAGTTTGTGCTTTCAGTTGCTATGCTCAAAATACTGTTTGATAGGGTCTATGATGCTCAAAATGCTGTTGCAGCAAATAAAGGATGTGTTTGACTCTCTCTGGTTCGGTACATCAGTTTCGCAGGTGATTTAAAACACTCATAACATATCCATAGAATTGAAGAGGAATGTAGTACCAATTTCTTTACATGTCTTTAACTCTAGCTAATCTCAACGAAATTAGGCAAAATTGCTGTAATGGGTTCAGTTTTGTCACTGGAGTGCGCTTGTGAAAAATTAGCCTCTAAAACCATGTGGATTTCTGAAGGTATCACCTTCCAACCTTGCCTTTTGCTAGGGTTAGAGTTTCTATTGTAAATGTACCCTGAGGTAAAGGTATCAAGTTTGATGAATTCGGATTTAACGCTTAAGGCTACTTGAGGTGGAGTTCACCTCAAGGTATCATCCATTCCACATGAAATCATTTTCAAGGTTGATTTAACCCTGAGCATTTACTTCAAGGTAAATTGATGAATACGGGTTTTGAGTGATAATCCTACCTGGAGGTAGGATATACGTCAAGGTAGCAATGATGAATACGGCCCCAGCTCTTGCTCATCACCTGGAGAAATGCCAACTCATTAAAAAAATGGGAACAAGACGGACCTCCAGCTACAAAGTGGGTGTCTTGCGCACGGCCCGCGGACGCGACGTTGCCGATGAATAGACACCTTTTGACCCTGCCCACATGCCTTAATGAGGTCTTTTGAAATATCTGAGATTTTTGAAAATCAAAAAAAAGTGCAACAAAGATTATTCGGCAGCTTAACAGATTATTTGCCACTTGGGAACACGAAAAACAAGTCCAAGCTTGTTTCGACAATGGGGGCAACGCGGTTTCAAACCTTTTAGGTATCGGGCATACCTTACGCGATCTCAGGCGCGACGCAATCTGGAACTCCAACTGTTCATAACTCATCCTAAACGCGTTTTGAATGAACAAAAGATGGGGCATATTATCGACTGCGAAAGTTGCACATCATGTGAATACATCATGTGAATTTATAGTCTGCAGGTGTCGAATTTGTAGAGATCTGGCAGGTTGCCAGATCGCGTGACGACTACTCAGACACTGGAAGCGGGCGAGCCGCGGCCTTAAAAGGCCCTTTCGGCCCGCCCGCGGCCTTATTTTGGGGGCGTGGCCAGATCGCGGCCCTAATTTGAAGGCGTGGTCTGAGTACGGCCGACCCGCGGCCCTTGTTCATTGCAGCGGCCGACCCGCGGCTCTTGCCTTGCTTACCTGACCAGCGATATGCAAATTAACAAGTTAGTCATGATCAGGGTCAAGCGTGGGGTGCGGCATGCCACACCTGGGGGGTCGTATTAAGGAGTCAAAAGGGGAAGGGGTTGTGGTTGGGTAATCTGAGAATAGTGATAACATGATATTCGTATCATATCCATAATTAGCATGTCAGTTAACCCCTGTAGACAATGTGTGAGCGAATTCTGAAGATTCAAGATACTAGGCTACCTAAATGAAATGGTCGAATTCCAACATGGTTAACTTTGTTTCAAAGGGAATTAGCTATCCGTTTTTGCACTCAAGACAAAGCACTACTCCTTCTTTGTCCACCTCAGGAATCCCGCTTCAGAAGACCTGCAAACTGTGGAATTAGAAGCCAACCAAAATCTCGTTTTTCCCATTTTTCGCTTTTAATCGCTGTGTTTCACCAAATATTACTTAAAGCTAAGAAGACAAATCAGGCTCCAAACAGTTCTATGGAATCTACAAGGTTTATTCTATCGATTTATATAAATACTGTCCGCTAAAAATTTTTTTTTTTTTGATATAGTTAATGGGGTGCGGCACACCCTTCAAAATCCAGAAAGCGCTCCATTACTGGTATGAGTATTGAGCGCATAGCTTCTTCTTGCTACATTGGAAATTTGGAGCCGAACTTCCCACCCATAAGAAAATTATGGCCCTTTCAATATGCCCATTTAGATCAAAATCAGCCGTCAAATTACGTGTGATTGTAAAGTGCAGTCACAGAAAATCGGGCGTACACCTCTCAGAAATCTGAAAACTCTCTAGAAAAAGATGGTGTCCTTCAGAATGTCACACTTTGAGGTCCAGAGGTTAAGAGGAGGAAGAAGTGGTCGTTTGAGGGCTTTCATGGGAGGGGGGGGGGGGGGGTTCGAAAGACTTGTGCCTGACCTCTTTCTCAACTCTGGTAATGCTATCTTAGGTATATAGTTCAGGGGGGGGGGGTCTTATTGAGACAGCAATCGGGGGAGGGGGGGGGGTCGTAACCAGGTATCGTGTGCCACACCCCTTGCTTGACCCTAGTCATGATCACGTAATGATTATTGACGAAGGTAGTTTCCATTCAACAAGAGCATTGGTGCTCTTCGGTTCTTTCGCTTGGACATTCTTCATGGATTCTAATGCGCTTCCCGCAGCGCCGGGATATATAGATGGTGAGTCCATGAATAGCTATCTAGTAGCTAGTATCTATCTAATAGCTATCTATAGATAGCTGAGGTATGCCCCGGCTTCACTGCTAGTCAAAAAATGAATGATAAGTAATACGGATTTTATGCTTACACTGTATCATTCAGTATGAATCACACTTTCTTTTTTGCCGCTCCATGTCTGACCTATCAGTTACCGGGACTGGTGTAAGTTATTAACTTCGTACATTTTGCTACAGCGCGTGATCTCGACTAATCTATCTCAGTGTAGGCTTGATTAATCAAAGGCCTCCGCAAAGATCTCGGCGTAATCTTTGTTTGTTGGATTCGTAAACATAAGATGAAGTCTCCTCTATCGGTAATCCATCGGAGAAATGATTGACCTTCACTCAACCAAATTTTTGTAATGACTACCCTTTGCTTCAACCAGATGTGCGGCTGGAAGGCGGTTCTTCGTGACCGATTTAAAGCTAGAAAATGATCAGAAAGCATGTTCGAGAGGGAGGCGCAGACTGCTTTGCGGACGCGAGCACTCGCCTCTTAGGTCATGAAGCTCCGCCTTCCAGCCGCAGATCGGGTTGAAGCAAAAGGTACGTCTTCTTTCAATTTATCCTGAGCTCTCCCTTTCGCTCACATTCGTTCAGTCCGTTCGGCTTCTCTTCGGCTTTGGTAAATCTCGAAAACAAGACTGTGTCAAAGGGAGAGCAAGGTACCTCTCCATTCCGTATCCCTTTGTTTTCCAATCGATCGACATGCACCATTGCAGTACCGCGGTAATCAGCTTTGGCGACAAAGTGTAATCTTGTCGTACTCCTTTCTCAACTCGGATGTGGAGCAAGTGATCGAACAATTGTAGGTGGTGTTACATCTTTGTTACAGTCCGCTATGGTCTCTATGTATGTTGAGTCCAAGCCTGAATCAAAGCAGTTGAAATGGCGTTAAATTCCACACTATTGGAGGCCTTTTCGTAATCGACGAAGGTGAGGAGTACGGGCAGTTGGTATTCACGGCAGACCTCCACTACCCTTGAGACAGTTTGGATGTGATCGACGCAGCTGAATCCTCTACGGAATACGGGTTGCTCAGTCGGTCATCTTCATCCAATGTCCTTAAAATACGCGACGTGATGATTTCTGTAAACCGCTTGTAAAACAAATTTAGCAAGCTGATCTGCCGGTAACTCTTAAGGTCTTCTCTTTCGCCTTTTTTTTGAAGGAGAATAGGGCGAATGTCCTACACTAGTCGGGTAGTCTTCCCTTTTTTAGAAATCCTTTCATGCGAGTTGCCAGCAAGTAGGTTACGTGTGTTCGCCTGCTCGGAAAAAGTTGGCGGTGATTTCGTCAGGAACAGGAGCTGTGCCTGGTTCATATTTTCTATGGCCGAGCGCATTTCAAAAAAGAATCCTTTGCTTCTGTTTCTCAATGGGTAAGGTAGGCTCCGGTAAGGCTTCGTGGTTCCGAAAAGTTTCACTTTGCGCCGGCAATTTACCAGTCCTTACTCAGTAGAGCTTGTATCGGTATCTTGTGCTCGCGAAGGTCCCTAAATCTCTTCAGATTTTTCTTGTTCTTTGCTCCTTCGAGTGTCTTCATTTGTCAAAATCTTTCCAGATCCTCTTCTACAGTTTTCCTGCAAATGTTGTTAACAGCATTTGCTCTAGATGCGATCTAGCGTGTACAGGATTCTCCTTATAAAGAATTCCCTTGGTAATGTTTATCAGACGTCCCGAGCCTCTTTCTATGGTCAGAACTGCCTGCTCAGCACAAGCGCATTTTCAACAACTTTCTTAGATCTTCTTTTGAATTTTCGCATTCCTTCTAGTCAATCTGGAGATGGCGTTCTCGAAATGCATTCGTCGTAACGGCTTCTAGACTTCGCGCGATAGCAAGATCTTCTTTCCATTCTTCGATTGAAACGGATCTTTGCGCGAAATAGACGATGGTCCAAACCTGTGCAGAACGACGGAACCGCTTCAACATAAATCAAACTCCAACTCTTGTTGATAAGTATATGATCGATCTCCACAAGTGCTGTGCCATTTCTTATCCCACGTCCATGTTACCTAATGAAAGGAATTTTCACGGAATAGATGCGACGAGTCCGACGAGCCTGTCTCCATTTCCGTTCCTACTTCCTAGTCCAAGTCCAATTCTGTTAATTTTGGTACTGTGACTGTTCTATCCTTACGTACTTGTCAACAATGAACTTGTGGAACAGGTTCCTAGAGCTGCTTGTCGAGTTCACAATCTGCTTCAGTAGGTGAATAACGGTTAATAATGCTGATCTCCTTCTGAAGCCTCGGGCATACTTCACGCGATTCAATCGCGGCGCGATCTGGCAAATGCCGATTGTTTCTAAGTCATCGTATGCGACACTCTGCATATATAGAAGACAGCATTTATAGAGTTACAAAAGTTGTATACACTATGCATCTGTAGTCTGCGTACGTTTGATTTGAAAGACATCTCGCAATTTGCCAGATCGCGTGGATCCAAATCGTGTGAAGTATGCCCGAGGCCCAGCGTGGAGCAGCAAGTCGTGGAACTGCCAGTATTGGCAGATTGTATAAGAAATAGTAAAGTGGCTAACGGGTTAATGTGTGACAAAACCCACAGCTCCGTTTTTGTGTTAGAACCTCCTTTCCTAGTATCACAAGGGTTTCATCCTTCTTTTTGAGCGTGGTCGAGTTTCGGGTCGTTGTTTGCTGCAGTGCAATCACATTGTATTTGAGTTACTTGCGTCGTCTAGGAGAAAGTAGAGTTCATGGGCTGCCGCTAACGACCTTGCATTGTATGCACAAAGTCAAAACATCGTCCATGTTTAAATCCTTTTTGTTGCTGGTAGGCTCTAAGGACGTCTTGCTTTTACACCTGAGATTTCTTCTCCTTTCACCAGGCCTACTGCCATCCGACGTCTCAAGCGGCAGACGAAAGCGGCGCGCAGGTTACTGAGCGTGTAAAACAGGAAAAAGCTATATATTGATTTTTCCGCTATAACCTGAATAGCCGGGCTGGGGCATGTTAGGCTTGTTTCGAAGCAGTCGCCGCTCCCTGATAACACTAACGGTTTTTGCCTCCTGGCGACTTTATTTCGCACTGGTAACTGACTTGGTGATCTGAGGTGCTCTGCTCTAGTTGGGCTGATTCGTGTGTCCGGAACATCTTGCTAACCTTTGTTTCAACAGGCTAGGCGACTGGAAGGCGGCGCTTTGTGACCTAATTTAGGCCGCTCGCGCCCGCGACGCAGTCTGCGTCTCTCGCGCGCCGTGCTTTCTGATCAATCCCTAGCCTTGATTAGGTCACGAAGCCCCGCCTTCTAGCAGCCGATCCAGTCGAATTTAAGGGTACACCCAAGTACACTTCCATGCTGAGGCAGCAGATCACGAGGGGAGTATTGGAATTAGATTTTTTTCAGAACTATCAAGTGTTTTTAATCATTGGTCTGCCAGTCTTTTAGATATTGTTTCCGACGTTTGGCAAGCTACTCAACTTCGCTAAAGTCTTCTTGCTTGGTTGCCTTGCATGGGACGATGCAGTCGGCATATATGCATAATTGTGATTTCGAACCTGTTGTTTTTTGTAATTAGGAGGCGCAACTTTGACTAAACAATTATCGCTATTTATGTTTAGTAGTTCAAAGTTTCGCTGCCATCTTTCCAAGTAATGTTACAGATTGGCTCAGACCCTACGCCTACTGGTGTTCAGTCCGGAAGTACTGGGTCTTCTGTTGGAGATCAACACACGCCTAGTGGCCAGTCCAAATCCAAAAAGGACGTCGGCGTGCAATCTGCAGGCACAAAGAGTGACGTAAATATAGCCTCGAAAACACAATTTTTATTTGCCGCTATGGCTTTCGCTTTTGGTGCGGAAAATACATGGGTTGTACCGAGTTACGTAGGAAAGTCAGGTGGGTTGTTTGTTGTTATTACCAAAGACTACATCTTTTTTGAAGGCAGTGGCTCGGCAAATCTCAACCTAGTCAAATTTGCGCTTACCTGGGGTTTTTCGATACGCTGATCCCGAAAATCCATTTTAAAAGCTTGAAAACGGCGAAAATGAGCGTTTTTTAACGCCTTCCCTTTGTTATTGGACGAATGGAGCAAGGCCGATGACGCTAAATCGTGGCAGGACCCAATGGTTATGGCGTTGCGGCGGGCAGCCTCCAATGGTGAGAAGGAAATTGCCAACTCGTCCAGATGCGTGTAAGATTGGCATGCGCGTGTAAGTTCGAGAGCGATTTTTTGGCAGGGAAAGCATGCTGTGCAACCGGGATTGCACTGTTTTCATAGTTGGGCGATAAGGAACCTACCGCGTTAGAATCCCGAGTTATTGGATTTTGACGATCCACTGCCTTTAATGCGCTCATTTCTATTTGAGGGTATTTTGGAGAAAGCGGGACTAGCGATAAATAAAAATGAGGGGCATTTTTCACTTGCGGTGCGTATTATCTTACTTTATTTCGTGCGGCATGGCGTCTTACAAGGTCAGTCGGTAGCCTTCCAAACAAGCTGTATACCATTAGATGCAACATAGAACGCTGACTACAAAGTCGTCCCTATCTGCTGAGCTCCTTCCCAGATGAAGTTATGAGCACGGTTGAGCAAAATGTCGGGCACAACTTCTTGAATCTCTGAATGTTGAGGGCAAGTGCAGAGTCAGCCACAAGGCTACTGGAGCCTATAGTCTGATTCTTTGAGGGTTGCGCCTAAACCCATGTTAACTTTATCCAAAAAGAAGCTTTTTCACCCTAGTTTTATGTGATTCGCTAACACAATTCTCAAGGTTTTACGTTAGATGTTCAAGTCTACTTCGACTTGTTTCGGTTACGTGGTGATCCGTGGAGTTGAAAAGGTGAGAAAAGCGGTGGTTGATATCTTGGCAAATTTTCTTAATCTACTATCAATTTGAAGTCAGCGCATGAAAATGGCAAAATGCGCTTTTTCCGAAGCTTTTTGAGTCCACATTCAGCGAAGATACGCCGAAAAAAGCCGCGCACCGCCCCCCTCGTTATGGGCCCCGCCCACTTACCCACCAAATGCGGACCTGGAAAGCTTCGGAAAAGGCTCGTTTTTGCCATCTTCATGGGCTGAAAAGTCCGGGATATGGGTTCCTCATGGCGAGAAGGCTCCGAATAGGTGAAAAACTAGGGAGCGAATTTCTGCCTGGACGCTGCCTTTAAGACCTCCAGGTCGGGCAGGCCTGGCGCCGCGAAGCCTAGCTATGAGTTTTATTGCAGGGAATTCGTACTTACAATTTGCGAAATAAAGCGCAATATTGTCTCTTCCTTGGGTATGAGCTACATGAAGTAAGCTAAATGCGCATTTTACTGACAAGGGAATGGTCAGAAGTCGAAGTGGCCAATCCATACAAGCTGCATACCAATCGATGCAGCATAGAATGCTGATTTCAAATGTGTCTTCCGTATCTGCAGAGCGCCTTTGTGGGCGAAGTTATGAGCAGCTTTACTGCGGAAAAATCGTCCACAAAAACTGCGAAATTAGGCAGATCACTGCTCTTTTAGCTCACCTTTAGGTACGAGCCATATGAACTGACCTGGTTACACGTTTTGGTCCAACACTGAGCCGAGAATGGCTTTGTACGGCCAAGTGTGACCTTTACACGCACAATTTCTTAGCAAAATGATGACATTTAACGGCTTATAACTTCGCCTACAAAAGCGCTCTGCAGATAAGGAAGACAGATCTGAAATCAGCATTCTATGCTGCATCGAATGGTATGCAGCTTGCTTGAATTGGCCACTTCGATTTCTGACCATTCCCTTGTGAGCTTTAAGCTAAACATGGCTCTGGGCCAAATTTGCACTTGCATACACGATTTTTTTGCAATCAATTTCAACTAGCAGGCATTCAGCTGAAACGGAAGACATTTGGAGTCAGCGTTTTGTACATGCTGCTCCCTTGGTACGCAGCTGCTTTGGTTGGCCACTTCGTCTGACCATTTCCTTGTGAAAACTACAAAAGTATTTTCTTCAAAGGAAAAAAGTATAGAAGCAAGAGTGCAGTGCAATAGATTTCGCGTTGATATTACAGGCACTTATATTGCTAGTCTTTTCTTCGGCAAAACTGAACGAAATACGCTGTCTCAAGTCTTCCGCACATTATTTTTCGAAGAGTCGCGTGGGATCATGCCGTCGTCAATTTCTCAATGTAAAAAGCAGAAAATTTGTACATTTGTGTCTGGGTGCCGTATGTAAGATGGTTGCGTAGCGAGCTGAAGTTTTGCACACATACAGTCTGCCCCAGTCCCAACCAGGCCAAAATTGGAATGGCGGGAGTCCGCGTCGCTAGAGTTTCGCGGTCACGCCCACGGCCTGCTTCTCTGATCTCTCTTCAATCCTTCTGCTCTCTCCTTCAGCGCGCATATGCAGCGCAGACCGCCAGCCCTGCGAGCGCGCAAATTGACGCCGACGGTTCGGCCTGATCCCAATTGGAACAGACTGTATATTAGGTCGTTCCGAAAGTGATGTCGCTTTTTTCAAATGAACGCCACATTTCATGGAATCAAGATTTTCAGGAGATCTTAGGAGCATTCGATGCAGCATTTCATCCTCTTTCTAGTGGTTGTAATTTCATTGCATATTTTACAATGAACTCTCGAAAAATTAACAAAATCTGCGACTCATGCTTTTTGCCATGGTCAAGTTTGGCTATTTTTCTAAATTTTTGTACCTATTCTTCGAAGAAGTACAAGTGACGGGTAGATAGAGCAAGCCCTATAGAACACAGAGAAATTTTTTTTCCTTAGCTTGATTCTCAGAGTTTCTACAATCAATTTCTCATTGCCATCAAATTTCCATATTTGGTCAACTTAAACCTCATAGAACAACAACCGGCAAGCAACTCGGGTTCATTCGACACAGCTTTCTCTTCTCTTTCTACCAATTGTTTTTTGTTTCCTATTCATCAAGTTTTCCGAGATAAAATCATCATAATTTAGGTTTTCCAGGGCGCCCCAGGCTGTGACCGGAAATTTCGAAAGTTGCTAATTTGAAGCGGTAAACGCTCATTTGTTTTGTAAAATTAGTGTAAAACCATAGTCCATATTTGTAAGTTTCAAACACCGAAGATTTCTTGAAGTTTGATGCATTTGTGTCTGAGACAAGCCTGCGAAAATTCTGTAGTTTCATCAAAAAATTTGTACAAAAATTATGAAGAGCTCTGGAAAGTAGAAAAAAGTTGCGCTGTTTCCTGTAGAGTTTGCTCTAACCATCCATCAATTGGATTCCTCCCGAGAATTGTTATAAGAATTTAGAGAAAATTTGAAACTTTGCTTTCTCAAAAAGCATGGATCGCAGATTCCGATAATTTTCCCAGAGGTTATTCAAATTTGTGCGGTAATTACATAACCATAGAAAGAGAAAGAAATGCTGCATCAAATGCTACCAGAACGTCTTACACATCTTTGTTCCACGAGATGTGGCGTACGTTTGAAAAAAGCGACATTACTTTCGAAACGACCTAATATTTCCGACCTCGGCGCAAATGATAGGCTGCTCTACAAAGATGGTAAGGACTGCTCGGAAGTTATTCGTGCAGCAAGGCGTGGATTGGGACAGGGAAAAATGTAGAAGTAGGACGGATTGGTGCCCTTCATCATGTTAGTTGACGAGACCGAGCGAGGCCGGGCATCCCGGCTAGTGTAAATTAAAACAAACATTATTCAAATTATTACCTCTTTGATTTCTGTATTATGTACCACACAATTCCATCAATATTAAGGAATTAATCAGCAACTATGATTTTGACTTGCTTTGAGAACGAAAGCCGTTAGAGCTTTATGCTAGTCCAAATAATATCACCATAACAAACCTATATAGTATCTAAAGACTTAGTTGAACAAAATTTTCTGCAACTAAATTGAGTGTGTTAGCTCAATTTGTAGTCTCAGCTATAACTTTTGATTAAACTGGACGGCTGGAAGGCGGGGCTTTGTGACCTAATTGAAGCCGCTCGCGCCCGCGACGCAGTCTGCGTCTCTCTCGCTCGAGCTCTCTGATTATTTTTAGCCTTAACTATCACGAAGCCCGCCTTCCAGCCGCCAATCCAGTCGAATCAAAGGGTATGTGGGAGTCTGATTATAAAACCTTGGGTACAATTGTAATTTAGGCATGGTATTCATAATTCAATTTGCCATTTGTTATCTACTAGCAGCTGTCCCGATGCTGTACTTGGAAATTGCTATGGGACAGTTCACGTCAGCTTCTCCATTCAGCATCTATCAAATGATGTCTCCTGCAATGGGTGGTCAGTCGAGTTCGATTAGAATTGGATAGCTTGATTTGTGCTTCATTTATTTTGTTTCCACCAAATGCATTTTTTGTAGTTTCCAGTCTAGTAACAAGGTTATAGAATTAGTAAATATCCCAAAATTGCAATTTGAAAATACCGCTCATTTCTTTTATCATCGCCTCTTGGAAATCGGAGTTAATTTTGGAAATTGCACTCGATCATTCCATGTGTTTTGAAAAAAGGGTGAGATTTTAGGAGTTCCAGCAGGCATGTGTTTTTTGCTAATTATCAGAAGTGTTGCAATCTCTGTGTGGGCAAGCGAAGCACTTGTGCTCTTCTTAGCTTCTATGAAAGGTATGCAAGTAATCCAAAATTGACTTTAGCGGAGCATTTTCTTTTAGGTCTTTTCACTGAGGTACCTTGGACAAAGTGTGGAGACTTTGAGGATTGTTATGACTACAGGTGAGAGCTTTGTGGGACTGTTCCTAATTCCAATTCGGTCATTTAGGCTGGCTTCGCGTTGTTTGTTTGCATCGCCAAACGACACTGTATGTCAAGGATTCATAAATGCCATGGTGATCACCAGATCCGACCACATCAGAAATAGTGCTCTGGCTTCATACGTCCATGCTATTGTGCAAGAGGTACCTCGCATTACCGCTACAAACTTGAGATGAAAGCAAGCAATATACTAAAGCTGCGCCAAAGGAGTGAAGCACAGCGCGAATTCAATTCTCTAAGATTTATGTGCAACTTTGTTCTTTTGATGACTAGTTAATAAGCGATCCAGAAATGCTGCAGTAATCTAAATCATTGTCACAAATTTTTGGAGCGATGCACAATTTCCATCCACTGTTTCGAGATAGTCTTCTTGCTAGATAACGTATTGGCAGTCTGCTTAAAGGCAGCGTACACCCAAAATTTCACCTTCGATGTTTTTGTCATTCTGGGACCTTTCCGTGCCGCTGATTACAGTTATGTCATTGAAATCCTCCAGAAGTCCCAAAAAACCCCGATTTCCGGGGACCCTTTCTTCAGGGACGGACGAGTTTCGAACTGCTCGTCCTTGTCGACATGCCAGCAGCTGCAACAGCATGACAGCCTGCAGTTGCAACTGCAACTGCTGCATATGCTGTCGTGGTTCGTCGCCCGAAGGAGGCACACCACAAAAAGCAACTGCACTGTTACAACTGCAGTTGCAGATGCAACAGCATTGCAACAGCAACTGCAACGGCAACTGAAGCTTACGCTGTCGTGGATTCGTCCGGAGGAGGCGGAGTGAAAGAAAAGGGGCGTAGTGAAAGAAAATTGAGAAGGGTTTTCTCCGCTTAGAAGCAACATTGGGAGACCGGACTAACGCAGTTGGTCTTCTTCTGGGCCCAGTATATACATGGTATAGAAAGCTAAGAAATTCGGTAACTTAGATTTTGGGTGTACGCTGCCTTTAAGCGAACGCCGAAATTACGTAGAGCGCCTGATGTTGAGAGCATTTTGATGGCTTCAGTCCTTAAGAAAATTATGTCCTTTATGTACAGAAACGTCGACGTAAGCAACGATTTGGTAGCAGTGAGATTTTTTAAAGAACTGATTGCATTTTTTGTTATGGCTAATTAACATGTACAACGCATTACGTTGAGCGTAATTTTATGCATTATTTCTGGAAAATCGCACCTGCATCATAATTTGATAAATATATTTTGCATTAGTTTTGTTAGCGGAGTATTTTATTTTCTAATGGCACATTGGGGTTCTCTACAACCAGGTTCCGAAGATGGAGGCAGATGATTCGAGCTCTGCTGATATTGATTTAGGTCTTTAAAATAACCTACAATGCAAAGCAGTCATACTATAATTTTATTTTTTCTTTGAAGGAAGGACGAGTTTTGAATTGCTTGACCCCGTCCGCATGCCAGCGAGGAGCAGCTGCAACTTCATGACAGCCTGTAGTTGCAATTGCAACTGCAGCGTATGCTGTCGTGGATTGTCCGTCTGAAAGGGGCGGCCGCAAAATGCAACTGTACTGTTGCAACTGCACTGCAACAGCAACTGCAACGGCAACTGCAGCTTATGCTAACGTGGATTCGTCCGAAGGAGGCGGAGTGAAAGAAAAGGGGCGGAGTAAAAGAAAAATCAGACGGGTTTTCTCCGCTCAGAAGCAACATTGGGAGACCGGACCAACGCAGTTTGTCTTCTTCTGGGCCCTGTATATGCACGGTATAGAGATGTGGGTAACCTAACTTTTGGGTGTACGCTGCTTTCAATGAAGCCTTGTAGTGATCGAAAGTCTCCATAAAGAATTACGAACTGCGGAATAGATAATCCAAGCATTTTCCTCGAGAATTCATTTTCCATAATGACGTTCGAGCATAATAATTGGTTTCAACTGAAAAGAGTAGGAAAGACTCAAATGTCCAAATTTCGTCGCAAAGTCTGCAAATTTTGGCGATGAAGCCTGAAAATGTTGAAGTCTAGGTGATCCTCCTTTTTGACTTTTTTCTGTAATCTGGATTGGCTTTTAAAAAATATGTGTTCTCTTGCTAAGTTCTTCTTGTGTTCTTTCCGCAAAACTGACGCAGAGCGATAAACAAGATGCAGGAAGCGAATCTAAAGAAAATTGGTACAGGACTTTAGCCGTGCACATTGCTAAATTTCTCACAAACTCTTTCAACGGAAATATTCCTGACTGCTCTTCAAATCACCTATTATCTCATTCTTCGCTAGCAAGAAAGGTTTTGTTTTCAAGGGCAGTATATTCAATTGTCATTTCAGCGACGCGCACTTTTATGTAAAATGTCCGTTTTTTGAGGTGGATACAGGTAGACAATCGGTTTCCACGAGTATATTTAGAGTTTTCCCTGGACTGGGTTACTTGGTGTGAGATACAGCACGTAATTTCGTGAGCTACTGCTGAAATTGATTGTCTACTGTGCAATTACCTTCCCCAAACATGCAGCTCTATATACCAAGAGCGCAGCGTCAAGCGGATGGTGCTTTCGGATCAAAAATTGGACCAGTCACGCACTTCAACGACAACTGCGGCTTTTAGCGAGTCATGCTAGTTATTGTAGGTAATTGATGTCATTTTCATTCCAGAATGAGGAGATCACAGCGCAGAGATTCATGCCGCATTGGTTTCTGCTGGTGTCACTGTTTCTGATATGGCTGATGGCCTGTGCAGGAGCGAGCGTAGGAATTCGATTCTTAAGCAAAACCGCATATTTGGCTGTTGCTTTGGCAGTCATTTCTACAATTACGTTCTTTTTCATAGGTTTGATTTTGGGAAAAATTGCAGTTTATTTTTACTCATCAAATATATTCAGCGCTCCTTGTTGGTAATGTGCGCCAATCGATCATGATTTTCATGCAACCACCCTACAATCTGTTGTTAAGTGTGGAGAGGTGGATAGTTGCAGCGGGGCATGCGTTGATAGCTCTGAAGTAAGTTTTTTGAAGGATATTAATTTCACTGTTCAGCGCGTCAGAATTCATAACTCTGCAACAACATATTAGGTTGGCTTAAAATTCGTCCATACTTCAAAAAACATAACTTTCTCTTTTTTTTTTGAGAATTTGCATACACTTTATGTCAGTCACGTACTCTCTTTTCCATCTGCACAATCGTCGCGCCGGTGCTTCGCGTCACGTTTGCTAGCATATGGGTTGGGCGCACAGATTGGTCTTATCGATTAAAGGTCTGCACGCAAGATCCTTGCGTTGCGGATGCGTATTTCCTGCGCGGAAGGGAGTATGTGATTGACACAGACTGTAGCTATAATTTTGTTTGAGAAAATCATTTTCATCTCTCTGACACTACCGAAAAGGCCTTTCACCAACCATACGTAACAGAAATAAAAGCTGTAGAGAAAAGCTATGCAAGTACCGATTTTGCTGAGTTGATGAAAATGTGAAACTTGCGCCAAAAGTCGGAGCATTTGCTGCTATAGGTTCTATGACCTGCCCTTTTTATCTGAGCAAATAAATTAACGAAGCTTTATGGAAAGTTAAACTGCTGAGAGTTGAAAGAGCGAACTTGCTCTCATAATGATTTTTTGAAAATTAACTTTCAGTGTTTCCACCGGTGGCATGATTAAACTCGCATCATCCCGCGGTTTTCACATGGGAATCGTTTGGGATGTTGTCATCATTGCTAGCGTAGTTCTGTTGTACCATGCACTCACCTTAGCAGCCATTGTGATGTTCATGGAGAAGTTTGCAGGTGGGTAAAAGCTTCGAGAAAATGTTTTCAGGGAAACCACAAATTCACCACCTTAACTACACTTACCGTTGTCATACCGGTGTTGGACACGGAAAAGTTGAAGGTGGTGAGATTTGTAGTTTAGTCATGGTAAATGAGAGGTTACAGTTCAACAATAATTACCACTGGTACACTTTCAGCTCAGGTATATCCATTCGATGATCCAAAAAAGCGTTTCATTTTTGTCACTTCGCCCCGTTACATGCCACTTATTATCATTGTTGAAGTAACTACTTAACATTCAAACGCAACATTATAGGTAACCGATAATGCTTTTAGGTGTTTATGACGATGCCTCTATCATGGTTACTAAGCGCTCTGCACTTTCTGGCTAGATTGATCATTCCCATGCAAACATTGGTAGGTTAAAGGACTCTATCCAAATCTGGAGCACGTCTACCCAAATATGAAGTTTAGTGATACCTTGTGCAGTACAATAGAGGCCTCTAAACTACTGTCCAAGTCCCGCTGCAGATGGTTATTGCAAAGCGCAAAAATCGCTCCAGATTGTGGACCCCGCTGGGGTCGCCACGCCCCCCGCCCATTAGCACGGTTGATATGAAGGAGATGAGCACGGAACTGGACTCAAGAACACTTGAAGTATCGGAAATGTATTTTTCCATGAAAGGCGGATTCATTTCTAAGTACTACTGACTAGCTTTGGGCCACCCATAGCAATGGCGACGCCAGCAGCACCGACCTTTTGGAGCGATTTTTCTTGCTCCGGAATTTCATTTTGCCGCCGTACTTGGGCAGTTACTCATTAGGGGCCTCGCTAATGTGCTGCAACAAAATCTCACCAATCTTAGATTTAGGAGGACAGTAACTTAAAAGCTGCACCAAAACACTAAGCTTTTCAGATGACGAATGTCTGGGTAGTAGTGACAATGTTGCGTGAGAAGTATGCCGACTCAACGAAGAAGCACCTTTCAATTTTTTATGTGTGGTTGTTGCTAATCTTGCTTTGCATTTGCGGATATATCGTCAGCTGTATGTTCATTATGCCCGGTGAGTCCCTCTCAGGATACCGTTTCAACCCAAATCTCGCTGATTGCAACGCCTAAAATAGTGTTACAGGGGCTTTCAATCAAGATGTCATGATCGGCGCAGCTCGGGTCCTCGGTGGCCGCCTCGGTTGCGCCACACGATGCGTGTCGCAGGACTTTTTGTAAAGCTGTCAGCCGTTGATGCCCAAGGATACCGTAGTTCCACGCCTCCAGCGTGGAATAAAACTGTACCCACCAAAAGCGAACGAAAGACTCAAGCGGAGCGGCTCACAAGGACCCGAGCCGCGCCGACCGTGACACTCAGATTGAAAGCGCCGGTATAGGCTACTGCGAAGGGGTACGGTAGTGGAACTCTAACTACAGTAGAACTCATACAAGAGCGCTTGCGTAAATGCAATCTTTTTCTTAAATTTGCAGTGCAAAATGCAGGATCAAAGTACGAGAGTTCTACGCAGTGTGATCACCTTCGCGTTACTTTGCTATGGTTTCATAATTTTTTTGGAATCGGAGTAGCTTTACTTCCACCAGCTTGCTCTATAAGGTTGCAAAAATTAATTACACAAATGCGTTCGAATTAGACGGTCTGTACAATCCTTTGGGCAGAAACCGCTCCGTAGCCGATGAGCGGTAATGATGTTCAGCGCCTCTGTGTATTCGTTAGGGAACTGGGAAATGTTTGTATGTACAGAAATATTTACACTTAACATAACTGAAAGAGAAGTTTATGCTATCGTTTCCATAAGTAATTCCGAAATTGGACTTCCACTAGTAAATGATTCAGGAGTATGCGAAACTACATCTAATAGTCTGTACGCTGCGTTTAGAAGGTTGTGTAAATATCACCTTTACTTTCAGGAGGCTTGGCAATGTCCATATCTGTCCAGATGATCAGTGGTTTTAGTTCACTTATCATTGGTTTTCTTCAACTTGTCACTGTTGCCTATATTTATGGTTTTCGTCGCTTCTCTGTGTAATATCTGTGTTTTCTAGCAGTCGTTTCTACTTGGCAAAAACGGATTACCTTCTTGACATTTTAGAAATATACGCACAATGACGGAAGCGTTTGGCCCCATGAACTTCTTTTGGTGGTTCAACTGGATTATTACTTCTCCATTTCTTCATCTGGTAAGCGACGCAGAACAATACATGATTCACTTCTAGGAGGGAGCAGAAAGTAAGGAAGTGAGAATTTTAGTTATAAAACTTATAATCAAAACTAGCATTTTTTTCGTTACATCAAGCCACGCCAAGAATTTGATTGGGCGTCCAAACAGCAGCGCCCCAGTTTGTCACTTTATTTAGTACTCAGGGGTGTTGTACGGAATGCTAGGGTATCATTTCGCGCAAAATATTTGCCCCGCCTCCAACGTTTCCAGGGGCAAAACGGGGTTGGCTTCAAGTAGAGGTCCTGACACGTCCATGACGTTTGGCAGAAGTGGGCGGAGTTTCTAGTTGTGCGTTTTGCAAGTATTTTCAACTTTCGCATACCCCTCCCACTCCTCAATGCAATTAAGAAATTAAGCTGCTAAAAAAACGATTAGAACCAAAATCACACCTTACACCTTATGTTGGCTATTTGATTTAGGCCTGCTTTGTGGCCACGTTCACTGTGACTTACAAGTACATGTGGGAGCAAATATTCTGGCGTATAGTGTTCTCGGTCACTACAGTCGCCTGGGTGCCACTCAATTTATTCTACAAAAATCGTGAGCGAAAACACTACAACGAGAAATTCAAGGTGATAGTTGACACTTTTTATGAGGTAATTTACATATTGTTGTATTTTATTATCAGACCATGTTTCGACCACGGAAAGATTGGGGACCATCAAACGTTTATGATAGGGAACAAGCCATCAGAATGGAGCGAGCACTTCGTGTGCGATAATTTCAAGATTCAGCCTAAAGATCCGATAAAAGTAACTCAGAAATTGCAAACAGCGAAACATGTTAATTTGTGGCGCTGTTAGATTAAATAAATAATCATAACTTATAATAACGGGCTAAGGATGTTTACGTGACTTTGTGTGTCTGCCTGTGTGAGAGTGTGTCTGTTACGAAATTCGTAGAGCGTGCTCCAGCCAACCTCCTGGGCCCAAATTTCGCACAGCGCATGCTACCCGCAAGAAAATCCAACATGCAAAAGCACGAGCAGATTTGTTGTGTGGATCCCTCAGAAACTGCGTGTCAAACGGATCCACTTTTCATTTGGGCCGCAAAATTGGGTCCATAATTCCACTTTTTGTAGAGTCGTGAATGTTTATGCCAAGTAAATGTGCTAGCCATGAACTTAGGCCCAAAAAAGTGATCGAAAGTCCATTACTTTACAAAAACGGCGCCAAAAAGTATTGATTGCATGAATGGTCATTTTGCCGAGGTTTTACCAGAACATTTGACAAGACTTTTGCACAAAGATGTAGCTGACGGTGACTGCTATTCTCATTGCAACTGTTAAGACCATGGGAAAATCAAAAACCTATGAAAATCTGCGTTTGTTCTCCTGCAAAAAGTCTCATCCACGCGAAGTCACCAATTTCACATAAAAAAGCTTTCAGAATGAGTAGTTGTTTACATTTTGTTCGTGATAGTTGGCATCGCTCGGTGAGTTCCAATGCCATCATTATGCGAGAAGGAGTAGAGCCTAGACAGTAGAGCCAAGGCGAGCCTCTGCGAAGCAGAGGTGACAGAGGTGTCAAGTCCAATATGCAAAAGCAGAAGCGAATCCGTTGAGCGGATCCCTCAAAATCTGCCCGCGTGACCGGTCCACATGGCTTTCGACCCATATATTGAAGGCTGTATTACCAGTTGCAAAGGCATGGCTCTGTATCCATGCAAATCTGTGAGTCATAAGTTTCGATGCAAAAAAAGTTGCCAAAAGATCTGTTCTCATACAAAGGGCGCCAAGAAGAGATAGCTGGGTAAATCCTCGGTTTTTAAATCTTCTACTCAATAATCTGAAAAGATTTTTGCTCAGATATGTAGCACACAGTAGTTATTGTTTTCAAAGCAGCTACCATTTCATTAGCAGTTCTATAACTATTCGAAAAACGTATTCATTCTTCATTGCCAGAACTTTTTTCGTCTAAGCTCACCGACTTTTAATGGCAGAGCTTCTAAAATGTACATTTTCTAGCACTTCATTTGTAACGTTCGCATCTCTAGGTAAGTTTCATTGCTAATTGAGAGTGGGAGAGAAGCAAGACTTAAGTAGAATTGGATATGTACGCGCGTAGATGTGTAGAAACGTTAGCGCAGCTCTGTAAGCCTTGCTTACTTCTATAAACGCAGCCAATGCGGTCCTGTGAGGTATACGCGCCGCGTCTAAGTACAAGCATTGTATTTTATTGGGTTCCATTTTCCATAAACAAAATGAATTGAAGTCTTTCTAAGCCACATTGTCTTTCAACCACATAATCAAGCACATGGGACGGGTAAGAATGAAGATATTGAATTTATGCATGCACAGTGCTAGCTTGCGTACAGAAGTGTTTCAAGTCATGTGGCACCAGCAGTTATTCCGGTTAAACGTTTGTGCCCAAAATATGATTGAATTCCATTTGAGTATGTATGATTCCAACTATCGTACTTAAACAGAGAATGACTATGTGAAGTTTTAATGTGGTTCAAGTTAGGTTATGTGGGAACAACCGCACAGAATTCGAAGAAAACAAAACTTAACAAAACTTAATCTAAATTTTTCCTTAAATGCAATGGGTTCATTGCAATCGAAGTGTTCTAGGCGGTGGGTTATGTGTGATTTCATGGCTCTACCTAAATCAAAAATCATTGGTTCTCAAACTGTGACGAGGCTGAGCCTCTGTACCCCAGCGCTGTCTGTGGATCAGTTACGCACCGAGACTAAACAGCGGTGTTAGCCTAACTAGCGCGTCTTTGCCTCTTCGGAGTTTGGAAGCAATTTGAATTATCTTCTTTTTGTCTTTCCATATTGTTTGTTCAAGCTTTAAGGAATGCTTTGAAAAGTGCCATTTGCATTACTTCTGTCTTTTCTTTTCTTTGCTGATTTTAGTCACATGAGTCTTTTTACTCTTCAATAATGAGGATCTTGGCTATTTACGTCTACAAGTATGCCAAAAATATATGCACATTTCATATTCTTCATAAGGTTTACATAATCTTAGCTGTCACACATGCTACTATTATATTAAGTCAATGCAAAAGTTCTGTTGCATCATTTTCCAAAAATCATAATTTTATGCTCTCTCTAGATCTGTACTAATTTTGCTAAATAGAAGAATTTTGCTAAATAGAAGAACCCTTTTTCTTTGTGGCAGTGCTTTTGATGCTCTCTAATGAAGGGGCAGTTTTTGGTATCGAGGAAGGAAAACAAAACCTTTTCGGTCATTCTGAGCTAGGCTTAAAAATTTGGAACTTGCGGCGACAGAATTCCGAGCAAGCTGTACAGTAAGCCTTTTCTACAATATACAACAGTGCAGAGTTCGTGTCAAAGGTTTGACCATGAAGGTTTCTGCAGAGAGTTATAATTTTCGAAAAAGTTAAGTTTGCACCGTTTGGAGAGCAAGAAGTAATTTTTCAATAATGATGCGACAGAATTTCGCGCCTAATATTTGCTGCTCAAAATGGAGTTAAGACGCTTCTGGGAGTTTTCAGGACAAATTTAGGTTAATTTTTTGCCTCAGAGTATAGCTGACGATTTACCATTGGCTCTCGAGTATGTATTTTCAATATTAGGTTCCTTTCTGAGCAGTTCTGTTTTCTACGCCAACGCCGCGAAGGCATTGAGTTATGTAAGTCCGACTGAGGACCTTTTGCTGAAATGTTATGCGGCCGCTTTTCTTCACTTGCTTTTATTGGAAAAATGCTGAGTTTGCAAGTTTTTGTTATGCATGCTATCGTTTGAAACGTAAAAGCAGTAAGTGGTCGTTTTTTTTATTGACCCCAAGGAATATAGGTGCTAACAAATTAGCTTTTGCAATCTTTTGAACTGATTTACATACGCTCAATTTTGTTAACGACATGAACTTATCAATGAAATCGTAACCGACAAATTATCTACTTTCGGCTGATTGTGGTTAACAAAATTGAAGTATACCTATGTGTAAAACGCATAGGAAACATTGTAATATTATGAATTTGCGCTACACTAACAACAATCAATGCTGACTTTTGCATCGATCGTAGCTAAGCGTCCAAATGTTTTGCGATACGAACAGAGAAGCTTGCGTCGCAAATGTGTAGATGTATCAAACAAGAACTTATCATTGACCCCTGTTATAAACCTGCTTTTTAGATGTCGCTAAGAATGTAACAATTAATAATTCAGAATTTGAAAAGCGAAATGGAACTAAATCAGCAACACGGAAATCGTGTGCGTGGGCGTCCTCGCATCCACGCATCCAATGCTGAACGTCAGCGAAGTTATCGTACTTCTCAAGGAGAAGCACAGCGTGCTTCGCGACTGAGTGCTGACGCAGCACGTCATCGCGAGTCACGCGAAGTTGAAAGCTCCGTTCAAAGTGCCGAACGTCGCTTAGCTAACGCGCAACGAGAACATAGACGTCGTGAGACTGAGGACCCTGAAGAACGCGCTCAGCGTCGCACTGAGCACGCGCAGCTTCTACGAAGGATTCGTGAAGATGAAAATGAAGAGAGCCGAGTTGCACGTCGTACTCAAAACTCATTACGTCAGCAGAGACGTCGTGCGAATGAAAGTACCGAAGAGCGAGCCGAGCGTCGTTTTGAGGATGCTGAACGTCAGCAGAGACGTCGTGCGAATGAAAGTACCGAAGAGCGCGCAGGGCGTCTTATTCAGGATGCCGAACGTCACCAGAGGCGTCGTGCTAATGAAAGTACCGAAGAGAGTGAAGAACGTCGTTTAGAGAATGCTGAGCGTCAGCAGAGACGAAGACAAGTTGAAAGTACCGAATACCGCGCTCAGCGCCTTTTGGAGCAAAATCGACGTTGGCAGAATTTGCTGCAGAATGAGACGAGTGAGGAAGGCGCTGAACGCCGAAGAAGACATGCGGTGCAGCAGAGACTGTACCGAGCACAGCAGAACGAGGAAGAAGAAGCAGAGTATACGCAAGAAAATCCCGAAGGTCAGCATAGGCAAGACCATGGAGAGCAGCGAGCGCACGATGTGATGATGACTGGGAATCGTCAGCGCCGCAATGTTGCTCGCACCATCGGAATAGCACTCAGAGTACGCACGGCAACCCCGAGCTATCTAGGACAACTCGATCGTCGTTGCGTGAACTGTGGTGCACTTCATTTCGGTTTCGAGGTCAAGCAACAGCATGCTGATACTTTCGGTGATTGTTGCGATTTTGGACACTTTTCTCTGGATTTTTTCAACGATTTTCCTATTCTGATACAAGAGCTCTTTCTGGGAAGCTCATCACTGCTACAGCGAAGAGAACGCCGTAACAACTTCTTCACTAACATAAGAAATTTCAACTCAGCTTTGGCAATGGCTTCGATGGGTGCTCAGGTTGATGTGCCTCGAGGACGTGGGCCGTACTGCTATCGCATACATGGGCAAGTGTACCATCATATTGGCCCTCTTCATCCGAACGAGGAAAATGAACGGCAGTATGGGCAGATTTATGTCCTCGACACTGAGGTCGCAGCACAGCAGCGCCTGGGTATCGCGCAAAATGCGGACTGCGATCCTGAGCTGATGGTTTTTTTGAGCGAATGGTTTGCGCATAACAATGTTTATGCATTGTCGTTCAAAATGATGAGTGAGGTAGAAAGAGCTGAGGAAGAGGCAGCGCAGCTTGAAAATAGGCCTGCAAATCAGATTAGGATGGTTTTCGAAGAGAACCGAGAAAGAGGTGTCACCCGAGGAAGATATGCAGTTCCGACAACCAATGAAGTCGCTATCGTGTACGTTGGCAACGACAATGATGTTCCTCCTGCTAGAAGCCTTGCAG